CCCCACGTATTCTTGGGAGCAAAATTCCGCTCGCGACTGCTACTGCTCGGGGCAAGCGGAGCAATAAAACCAAGGCGACCCCTGTCACGCTATCCTTGAAGTTTTGCAACATCAGGGGACTTCATTCCAACCTTAACGCTGTCCATTACCATCTAGAGACGGCGAAGCCGGTCTTGCTCTTTTTAACCGGACTCAGGTGTCCTCTCCGGCTGATACTTCATACTTTGTTCCCCGGGCTGGAGTTTGCGTAAACGTCAGAGACGACATCTGGTTTCGATGACTCGGCAGTCTTGAAGGTACGGACCTGTCCATCCTATGGCTGCGCGTAGACAGTGATGACCATTCACGCGTCTATGGGTGCCTCTATAGGTTCCATAGCTGTAATGCCGACACAAACCGACTCATCGACCACGTCCAAATGGCTGCAGACTCAGAGCTACAATATATCCCATCCGCAGAAATCGTGATACTCGGTGATTTTAACGCCCGCCACGCCGAATGGCTTGGTTCTCGTTTAACCGATCATGCGGGTAGATTTGCCTTGGCATATGGTCTAACACAACTGGTTACTTCGCCTATGCGAATCCCAGATGTGGAGGATGATGTACCTTCCCTGTTGGATCTTCTGCTGACCTCTTCATCGGATATCAGATCTCCGTCGATGCCCCTCTGGGCTCTTCGGACCATTGTTTGATCCGGAGTACGGTACCACTAACGCTCTAATCGCGGTTGCGATCTGCAGCCTGCCGCCGTGTTTGGCACTATAGGTCGGCCGATCGGGACGGGATGCGGTCTTTTTTTGCATCCTACTCTTGGGGGTGGGTTTGCTTCTCGCCGGAAGATCCCAGCGTTGTTGCCGATTCTGTTGCTGATGTGGTACTTCAGGGTATGGAAATTTTTATTCCATCCTCTGTGGTGCCCATCGGAGGCAGATCCCAGCCATTGTTTGGTCGTTCCTGTAAAATAGCATCACGCTATAAGCAGGAGTGCTAGCGAGCCTGGGCTGACGCATCAACGTCTCAGGATGTAAACACCAGCGCTCTTAAAAAGAAGTATAATTCCGCCTCCAGGTCCTTCAAAAGCGTCATTGCCAAGGCAAGGCCTGAGCACATCAGCAGAATTGGCGAGAAGGTAGTTCGCCTTCCTTCGGGTACCCGTACATTCAGGTTTCTCGCCAACGCTGTCCAAGGGAATTTCTGTCAGCCATCTCTTCCATCTCTGCACAGAGAGGACGACTCACTGGCCCATGCCGCAAACGAGAAAGCCGATCTGTTGAGCTCTCTCTTCGCGTTCAACTCGACTCTAGATGACGTGGCGAACACACCGTCGATCATCCCGCGGTGTGAGTGCTCCATGCCGGATGTGCGGTTTACACAGCGCTCGGTTCGCAATGCACTCTTCTCCCTGGACGTCAGCAAGTCGAGTGGGCCTGACGGAATCCCCCCAATTGTGCTAAGGACGTGTGCTCCGGAGTTGGCACCGGTCCTATCGCGTCTTTTCCGGTACTCCCACTCCCAAGGCGTAGTACCGAATTCATGGAAGACAGCTTTGGTCCACCCGACCCTAAAAAAGGCGACCGCTTAGACCCGTCCAACTACAGGCCTATCGCTATCACCTCCTTGTTCACCAAAATAATGGAATCCATTATAAACTGCCAGCCCATGAGGTTCACCAGCTGATTAGTGACCACCAGTATGGTTTTCGTCGGGGTCGATCAGCTGTTGATCTTCTGGTCTATCTGACTCATGATGGGCGGAGGTAGTAGAGTTCAAGGGGGAGGCATTGGCCGTTAGTTTGGACATAGCGAAAGCTTCGATCGGGTTTGGCACAAAACGCTTCTGTCGAAGCTACCTTCCTATGGGCTTCCCGAGAAATTGTGCAATTGGATCACCAGCTTTCTTGCAAATCGGAGCATCAAGGTCGTTGTAGACGGTGCAGGCTCCAACTACAAGCCTATTAACGCTGCTGTTCCACAAGGCTGCGTGCTATCACCAACGCTGTTTCTCCTGCATATCAATGATATGTTGCAAGCTGGTAGCATTAATTGCTATGCAGACAGATATTTCTCGGAAAAACGTCGCCGAGTACCAAGACAAACTTGTCTGAAGTCGAGTCTTTGCTGAACAAAGTCTCGGATTGGGGGTGACTAAATCTGGTCCAGTTCAATCCCCAGAAGACACAAGTTTGCGGGTTTACCGCTAAAAAGAACCCCTTTGTCGTATCTCCTCAGTTTCAAGGCACTCCCCTTGCTGCCTCAGCTAGCATCGGAATCCTCGGTGTCGACATATTGAATAGTGTGCAGTTTCGTGGTCACTTGAAAGGGAATGCCAAATTGGCCTCAAAAACGCTTGGCGTACTCAGCAGAGAGAGACAGTATTTCATGCCGGCACACCGCCTGCAACTTTACAAAGCGCAAGTTCGGCCTCACATGGAATACTGTTCTCATCTCTGGGCCGGGGCACCCCAGTGCCAGCTCCTTCCACTTGACCGCATCCAGCGCAGAGCGGTTCGAAACGTCAACGAGCGAGTTCTTTCTTCGAACCTTATGAAGCTGCGTTTTTACCTCAGAAGAAGTTAAGGTTCATTTTCTAAGTAAGCTGGTAATAATGAACCGGTCTTCTCTAGGCACAGTTTTCCGTTTAAGTCCCCGTCTTGCGAGTCTCGTATATTGTCCGGTCTGCGATACCTCTTGACTACCCGATGTATCACAGATTTTGATATTCGTAATGTTTGGACCACATCTTTCCAGGTGTGCCCAGTTTCTGGCATTCTCAGTTTATTTGCAGTAACAATAATTCACACTTAACACGATAAACAAGAAACAAAGCAGTCAAGACAAAAATTTAAGCAAAACCTTAAACTCAAATTCAAAAGTTGGCAAACTATTCTCTGCATGAACGAACGTAATATGACACATTAATATGACATAATAATTTAAAATTAAAAATTTTGTACTGCCGACTTCAATATAAGTTATTAAGAATAACTCAAAACCATTGGTCTGACCTTGATCAAATTCAACGAGAAGTACCAGCTTTGAAATAAAAAAAAAATGATCGAAATCGGTTCACCCAGTAAAAAGTTATGAGGTAACACACATAAAAAAAACATACAGTCGAGTTGAGTACCGTCTCCATTTTGGAAGTCTGCAGAAAACAAATGAAATTCGAAAAAACAACATTACGAAATTTTCTTTTTTTAATGGTATTTAATAATGTTGGTAGCCAGTAGTAGAGTAAGAAGAGAATTAAAGTTTTTCGTTTTTGCTTTGCTCTATATTTATCCATGAGAATACAAAATACCAATAAAGATTTTGCCTACTTTTATTACAAATTTTTTTATCCTATAAAATTACATGAATTGAAAATCGGTATAAAAACACTTCTTATTCAGTTTTCGTATTATAAATATATTCTTCCTAACACCCATTAAATACTTTAAAAAATAAAATATAACAAATTTATTAATAAAAAATTTTGGAGGCGCCGGGTATCGATCCCGGTACCTCTCGCATGCTAAGCGAGCGCTCTACCATCTGAGCTACGCCCCCGATACTACTTAATTCAAAATTAGTTGCTTTGACCTAGCACGCAATGCCAAATCATAATTCTGTACAAACAAGATCAGGTTTACTTTCATTAAACTACTTCATGATCTACTCGTAAATATCATACAAATATTTAACACGTTCTCTTACTTGTTACATTATATTAATGAAAATGAAAATTATTTATTTGAAAATGAATGATGAATGTAATGTGTGGTGAGCCAACTAATGGGTGGAAATTCAAATCCTTCTCAAGGTCCATGTTCGAATAGCATAGTCTGACAATATTGCGAATAGTCGATCGTGTATTACCGGTGTAAGAATATCCACTGCCCCATATCATCCAGCGGGTGTCGTAAGAGGCAACTTAGGGAAACAAAGCAAGAGATTGGCAGCAGCATCGTAAATAACAGCTGAAAATAAAAAAAACTGCCAACCCGCCTGCCAAGCGTGGTAACTAAGGCAAATGCGATGCACACCCTATAAGGTAACCTATGGGGAGGTGTTCATTAGTGGACTTTTGATAGGCTGTAACAGAACTGTATAATATTTTTTTTTATTTTTTTTTTATAAATGAGAAAAGGCTGTGTTATGCGAAACGTAAACTGACATTAAGTACTTTTATGTATATTCTGCGCAAACGATCTATATTCGTCGTATTCGTGAGATCACAGTAATTCTAAGGTAGTAGAAATGGAGACACTTCAGTCCACCCATTATGCTGGAAAGGAGTACGTACTAGAAACATCGATAATTCGACTAAATTCATTTCAAATTCAATGTATTGTTTTTTCTCTACTTGCGTAAGTTTATTATAGGTAATGAGCGTAAATTATACACGATAATAGCCTATTAGGTATTATGTTTTTAACCATTTTAAACACATTTTAATTTACTTTGGAAACTTACGTATTTATTTACCTACCTTTAAAAGAAAAGTGAAAATAAAGTTTGCAATTACATTAGCATCCATATTCGACAACTGTTAATTAAATTGCTTTACTTTCATATGGGGGGCGTAGCTCAGATGGTAGAGCGCTCGCTTAGCATGCGAGAGGTACCGGGATCGATACCCGGCGCCTCCAAGAAATTGTCAACTCTTTTGAATTTTGATTATCCGAAATACATTATTATTCCTTAATATGTTGCAATATTAAATGAGAGTAGAGGAAAACACTTCATTAATACATATAAAAGAGATTTCCTCAATTGAATTTTATTTGCTGTACGTTAATATATGCTTTTGCCTTTCAAGATTGATATTATTATAAGTATAATAACGTTAGTTGGCGGGAAGGCGGGAAGTCAAGTTCTTATTATAACTACGTACCTACCTACTCGATACTCGTTGAAGATTAAGTAGGTATACCTAGAACTCAATATTACTGTAATATTTATCAGCTCTTTATTCTTTCCGTTCATACAAAAAGTGAAGAAAAAAAATATTTTGAAAATGCCACGAAAATCAATTCGCCCCAAGGTCCGGAAAGAGATGACACAGGTATTTTATATAAGTATTTATTTCAATAACAATTTGAATCTTTCTTATTAAGTTATTATCCTCAGAATTGTTTTTTTACTTATTTTTGACGATGTGCACTGAGATACATTTTTCTTTAGAAGTTTTTTTTTTTTAATATAACTTTCCTAATTTTCAACCATATTCAGCAATCGTTTCTATTAATCAAAGTTAAAAAAGTTGTAATCACTGTTTTCTTTTGTTTTAGATGAAATTTATAAAAGCAAGGCTTATGGAAATTACTTTGAAGGTAGACAATTATATTTACAAAGATAAGCCTATATCAAAAAGGCAAGCGAAAACTTATTTAGAAGAAATATCCTCCTTTATTACTCGATGTAATAATGATATTGGTTATCTTCAGGTTTGTCTATCTTATTCGTATAAATTAAACATCAGCCAATATTCACCACTCATCAGGGTATGAGTTTGACATAATTTCCCTTTTTTTTATGAAACTTAAGTGGCAAACAAGCTTACGACCCGCCTGATGGTTATTGGCTGCTATGCAGCCAACTTCAAACAAAGAAGGGTGCAGTTGCGCTATCACCTCTGAGGACTACGATGACATACTTCATAGGCTGTAATTATATTGACTCTCTGTACTCTTTACACCGGAACTCAGCTGTGCAGTCACTGCTATTTGCCGGCAGAAATAGGTACAAGTACGAGAGTGTTACCTATCCTAATGAATTCCTAAAATGAAAAGGAGGGTTTAGCTTTCCATTGACATCCGTCGAGTTGGAGGTTGATATTTTTTTTTTTACAGAAAGTATACATTATTATAAGCACACAGACAAGGTTTCATCATGCGGAAACGCATACTTTTTGAGATTTTTTTTTTATTAAAAATTTATTATTATTGCAATATTTGTCAATTCCTATCGTAAAACTGACGCTATTTTGTATTGTCATTGTCATCGTCAGTATGTATGTATCGATTCTTTCCGAAAAATATCGATTTTTATATCGATTCGAATCGTAAGCTGATGTGTCGATTCACAAAAATCGATTTCTAAAATATCTATATTTTTTCATGTTTGCATTTATAATGTAAATATAAATCCATTTTATGAAAAACAAGAAAGATACCATAATAAATGATCTCTTATTGAAATTTGTTTTATTTTAATAGTACCTATTAGGGCAGATAACAAATAAAATAGGTTAGGTTCAACTTTTGTCAAAGAACCGAATTGATTGACCCCGACTCCACCTGGTACGAGTCTATCCTACCCTTAGAGTGGTTTTATAGAGCCGGAGGCGCGTAGGGGGAGCAACCTCCGCCTGCTGTAACAAGCCGAAGCTGCGAAGGCGAGGAACGATACCTGCGATTTGTTACGCTAAGGCGTAGAGGCTGCTCTTCCCGCAGCGCCGGAGACGTAGCAGTCTCAAAATAGATACAGAAATCCTTCTGAATCAGTCCCCCTATTTTTTTATGATGAAGGGGATTTTTTTTCATAAAATGGATTTATAATTACATTATAAATGCAAACATAAAAAATATAGATATTTAGAAATCGATTTTTGTGAATCGATACATCAGCTTACAATTCGAATAGGTTTTAAAAAATCGAACATTTTCGGAAAGAATCGACATCCCTACTGACAACGACAATACAAAATAGCGTCAGTTTTACGGTAGCAATTGACATAACTATTGCAAAAATAGTTGATATTCAATATTTTTTTTTCTCAAAAAGTACGTGTCTCCGAATGTTTAAACTTTGCGTGTGGGCTTATAATAATGTAACATTTCTGTAAAAAAAAATATCAACCTCCAACTCGACCGATGTCAATGAGGATTGGCATAAAAAAATGCGCATTTCCGCATGTTGAATCTGCGTGCGTGTGTGGTTATAATAATGTAACCTTTCTGTAAAAAAAATATCAACCCCCAACTCGACGGACGTCAATGGAAAGTCGTACCAAAAGGAGATTTGTATGCTCCGTTCGGATCAAAGTAATAATATTTTTTATTAACACTAATTACCCAGGTTTCATTACAATAGGCTACGTTGAGCCAGTAGGTCGTACTTAGATTCATGTATGTAGTTATTTAACTTTAAACTACAGCAGGTAATGTCCTTCAGTTCAATTTTCCTTATTTCACTTTTTTAAATCGTTACTCGCCACACTGCGTTAAACCCAGTTAATCATTTCATTCATCACAAGACAATTAGCCAAGCAAAAATCAAATTTCATCTAACGTACATTTCATCCAGAAACCAAATTTCATAGACTTGTGATGAGATAAACTACCATCAGAAGACTGTTAGGGTTCGGTCTAATATCCCATATACCTAGCGTGGTAGGTAGGATAAGAATTCAAGATGTATTCTTGCAAAGGCATTTAAACAGCATTGAAGTTAAAAAAGGCTGAAGAGCGCGCGGAGTAAACAGCAATAGGTAAATTGCTTTTGGCAATAGCAATTTAGATATTTTTGTTGCTAAAACGTTGTTAAACGCAGTACAATGCATCATCAATTTTTGCCGTAAATGCTCAATAACTTGATAGAAGCTCCACATTTTTGTTCATGTAGAGGACAGTCTGCAGGAGTGATTCGTGGCCACTGCAATATCGGAAAAAATAGGCAACCAGGATCCGATGATTTCAATCTTTATTGTATGTTGTGACATATCTGGATCGAGTAGTGGCGGTGTAACAATATCTACAATCCCATATCGTCCCGTGAGTGCCGTAAGAGGCGACAGAGGGAAACAAAGCGGGAGGTGGAGAGCAGTCTTCATAATAATACGAAAAAATAAAATACTGCCGTTGCTAACACGCCTGTCAATCGTGGCAAATAACCCCTCTATGAAGCAATCTATGGAGAGGCCGAGGTTCAGCAGTGGATTTTGAAGGCTGTAACGGTAACGCATCTGGTTTATACGGTTCTGATTTTTTTCTATTTATCATTATAACTATTGACACAAATATGGCAGTTTGTTTTTAAAAAAGAACACATAAAAAGTATTTTTACTTATTGTTTTCTGATTGACTAAACAGGTAATTGAGAAATTGACAAAATATATGAACTTCATAATCTCAAGCGAAACAACCAAGGCTAAGGTTAGTAAAGCAACAAACCAAGACAAAATAGCAGTATTAGCAACAAACACTGGCAGTTCCTTGTCCCCTGTGAGTTCCACGCCTGTAAATGACAAGATTCAAAATCAACATAATACAGACGAAATATCAGAGAGCAATGGTAACTGTGATTCAAACAATAACAACACAAATTGTCAAGAAGATGAACAAAATGCAAGAAACAAAACTGCAGAGATAGAAAAACCCAGACCAGAAGTTTCAACTATCGATAACTTAATCAGTAAGAGTTTAGATCACTTACAAGCTTCACAAAACATTCTAGAGAACTACATCCATGCTGAAAGTATTGATAATGCCGATGCCTTAGAAACCAACAGCGTTTTTTCAAAAGGGGAATGCCAAAACGTAAATGCAAATGTAGTATCCAATTATATCAATAAAAATGTTGGAAATATAATTCAAGATATCGCCAGTTTGAAATTGACTGAGAAATCTGTTAATAACAATAATAGACAAGGTACTAACGAAGAAATACTAAAAACAGATGCATTAAGCAAAGAAAAATCAGCTTTAAATGCAGTTACACTTAACACTACGTACCATAAAATTCAAATTAATACACATGAAAAAATAGATGAGAAAACAAAAACGGTTAACACGCAGCCTTCGCAGTTAACTGATGTGATTAACGTTAATGTATTAACTGATGGTGTAAATAAAAAGAAAGTAACATTTGATAATATTTGTAATGAAATACCAACACAAAACGTAACATCACTGATAAATATGCATAATGGCGTAGAAGGAAACGGAAAACTTCCTAGCTCTAGAATAAAAAAAATAGAAAACGGTGTTAAACCCAGTTATCAAAACCCTCAAAAGAAAGCGCGTTCAACAATAAAACGACAAAAAAAGGAAACATCAAATTGTAAAGTTGAAAAGAAGACCAAAAGAAACACAAATAGAAAAAAAATAATCACAGCTTGTGAAGATAAATCTGCTGAAAATTCTAACAAAATATCATTAAACACAAGCAGTAGTTTACATCCTGCCCTAAATACAATCAATGAAAAAATCGAAGATGATTTGTCTTGGTTAGATCAAATTAAATACGTACGGGAAGTAGACGCACGAGAATATTGTACAGTTGTAAAAGGTTTAGACGACAACTTTTGGGAAAATGAAACTGTACCTAATTGCGACGATGAAGAATTTAAGGTCTAAATTTCAAAATAAAAAAACATTGATTATGATCAAAAAGTTTAATTGAAGTCAAAGATTAACACATAAAGCCTATAATAGGAAATATTAAACATTTAACTTTGATCAAAATTTATTAAAGACATATTATGTTGAAAATAATAATAACTCTTCTTAATCAAATAGTGATTATTATTATTAGGTCCCTATTTATGAAAATTAGGCCCCATAAACAAATGTTTATTTAAATACAATGGAAAATTTATTAGATGTTTTCTTAATAAAAGACTTAATTTGAAATAATAAATGCTACAGTTTTTATAAGTTATTATTATTTATACATACTTGGCATTATTTCAATATAATAACAATTATTAAAAAAATCGATTTTGATAACACACAGAGGGCAGCAATTACTAATCATAAAGTTATTAAAGCAAAACGTAATTAAGGTATACATTAAAGATTTTATTATGATTTAGGATGACTGTAGGGTCAGCACTTTTACAGACCATGTACTTCAGCTGTCTCTCATCATATCAGTGTTCACCTATTTCTCAATTTATTTTTGTCTCTTTCTACCAACACGATATCATAACAGAATACATTATAAACCGTGGGCGATTAAAAAGTTGTCCGGGTAAGTCTTTAATAATTCGACAAAAATCCGTTTCAGGTACATTTTAATCTCTTAAGTGATAACCAGATCACACATTAAAGCAAACATTCAATAAATGCCTTTAGTAAATCCCAAGACTTCAATGTAAATTACTATAGTAAAATTATTTTGTCCGTGCAGTTGGGGTCATAAATCACAGCTCGGCCTCAGCCCGGCTAGGGCGGTGAGCATGAGGCGCGGGCGCAACGCCATTATCGATAACAACAAATGAAACATGGAAGGCAGGTACACGGCGGCGGTGCGGTATACAAAGGCTGGTGCGACATTGTTATGAGTCATTTGTTTTCCATTATTACCTCCGCCTAATACCTGCAAATTAGTGCAATGATCATTTATTACATATATCAGAGAAGTTTGATTTGCGCATTCGCTTTCTGAATTTCTTTAGTGGCACAATGGCTACTCATTTGTTTTGTTATCCATGACCAAAACGGCAGAATTTATTCAAAATAATATTTTGCCTGTTGGCACCAATATACCAGCACAAGCACGTGTTGTTATTAACAATGTTTGACAATGACTCTGATGTAGAATTTTAATGTAAATAGTTTTAGATTTAATTTTAGATAAAGTTATTATCTTTATATTTATATTTATTTTTAATATAACATATTACATTCCAAACATTTGTACTTATAGTTGTTTTAATACATAGATACCTAATTAATAATTTATTTTAAATCATTATTATTCTTATTTTAAAAAATACGTTGTTTTATCTATTTTTTTTTTTCATTTTTATCACTAACCTACATAATGACAAAACTAAATACACTATCGATAACGCTTATCGACAACTATAATGCGCATCACTATGCTCGCCGCTAAGGCCTGTGAGTGGGAGAGAGCGAAATACCCCGTTGATTTATGACCCAAACTGCACGGACAAAATAATTCTAGTAAAGACTGCACTACGCTACGGTACTAATGCAATGCGCACTAAGTTACGGTAAATTCTCCGTAACTTCTTTCGTCTACTGCGAGCGGGCGAGACTGTTTTTTTTTTTTTATATATATAAACCGCCAACGTTGTTTTCGACAAGCTAACACTAATTTATTGAGAAAATGCTTAATTTATTTCGTATTTGCCTCAAAACAGTAACGGTCGTAAATGAAAATAGAACTGCCGTCTTGCATGGCATATTTAGGGCCGATCCTCACTATAATGCCGTTCACAGTTCGTTCTCGGTCTGATAAAATATTATCAAGTAAAAATATGTGTATTATTATCCATCACGATTAGTCATGTATCGATAGTGTGAATGCTCTTTGTTTCAGGTTCAGTCAGCTATTACCCGCTGAAGTGGTAAATGCATCAAATGCAATTAACTTCAATACTTTAAGTATATTTTACTTTTAATTGTATTTGAATTATATTTTACTTAATAAAAGTAAATGTGGACTTTCAAAAAAGTTACTATATATATAAACAATAAGCTTTTGAAAATTATATTTACGTATCCAATTACAACTTTATGGAAGAAATAACAGAATGTTACTTAACTTAATCTATAGTAAAATTGTGAACGACATGTACTTTGATTATTGACGATTCAAGACTGAATCGTGAACTTAGTCAGATTGTATAACGTGAATGTGATACGGCTTTACCAGACCGAGATCGGATCGAAAACGAACTGTGAACGGCATTAGAGTGAGGACCAGCCCTTTACGTGACAGATACCCGCCCTAGCGATCCTCGGCTGTGATACATACAGTTTTTGTTCTGTATTACCGGTCTAGTAATATATAGAAGTCTTTGAGTAAATCTCTAAAGGCTAGACAAAGCAGTATTTTCTTTTCTTTTCTTTTCCTGTGTGCTCTTTTTAGTGTGCCTTCTGACCAAAAGCTATAAAAATGTGCTCTTTTGGCGGAGCCGTCAAATCTCAAAAACTACCACGGTTATGTACGCTGTCCTTACACTTATGCATGGAACGCGACAAGAATTTGGTATAACACATTATATATAATATTACTATAACAAATGAATTTCGGTTGCCTTAAATGCTTACAAACTTTTACGTAACACTTCAAGTTGTTTTTATTAGCTCACTTTTTAATTTTATTTCTTATTATATCTACATGTTTTAGTTGGCAACTCCATGACGTTACTAAGGATCTATACATACATACATAATATGTTAACAGTAACAAAAATATGCTTATTAATTACCTAACTACATTTGCATTTTTTACATGAACATCTTTTTTAATTCCGCAATCCACGCTGGGGTAGCCATTCGTACTCTAAAACCCTATCCAAAAACCCGAAACAAAAAGAGCTGATCTTTAAACGGCTGAATTTTTTTTTTCTTAATTCACGGCTAAGAACAATTTCGACCAAGTCACTTTTCAAACAAAAAATAAATAAATCTAAATCGGCTCATCCGTTTGGGAGTTACGATGTCACAGACAGACACACAAATACACAGATACACACGTTAAACATATAACACCCCTCTTTTTCGTCGCGGGTTAAAAAGGAGTGCCTTCGCCCAGCGTCAGTTACCCTTATATATTGTCAAATTACTTTTTTACTTTATATGTTTTATTAATTGGTGATCATTTAATTGTAATATAGCTAAACAAAAATAGCTGAATATTTATTGATAATAATAATAAACCAGTAATTCCAATGGTACACTTAGGCACTTGTCCTATACAGTTAATATACTCTTTGAGCACTTGGCACCATTTAATTCAACCTTTCCATTAAAATAAAATAATTAAATATCATTTCTTTCCATACATATATATTCTTCTTGTTAAATTATTATGATTAAGAAAGTAGTTTACACTGTGCCATAGACTTTTAATTTTATTAACAAAAATGTTATTTTTCTGTACAGAACATAAATAACTTATTATCTATACATGCTCTCGCTTCCTTAAAACTAATATTATGTCTTTATAATAACTGTGAAAAGTTTACAACTCCTATCTATTTGTCAGTTTTTATTTTTAACCACTGTAACATATTATGCTTTTTTAATACTGGGAAAACGAACAATCAACTCGATAAATATATTATATCATTCGCCGATCTGCACTTGCAAGTCACTTGGCTACTAATATATTGTTAAATTTGACATTTAAAAATATATATTCCATACATTTGACATTTACAAACGAAATTGTAAGGTGAGAATTTAAAAAAAAAACAAAACTCCGGTTCTTACCTAAGGTCTTGTTTTCCAAACCGATATAAATATTATCTTTCATAAGGGGTTTAAACAATCCTAAATGGAATAAAAAGTTTTGACTTGGACTTTATGTTCAATTCTACCAAAATGCTATAGATTCACAAAGGCTAGATACGCGATAAATAATGTGAGCAAACTTCCAGGGGTGCAAAACATTTTTTGTTTTTACTTGGAATTTTAAAATAATAATCAAATCAATGTGACTACATAATTAAAACTACTTATATTGTCTTTACGCATGTTGGTAAAAGTCTGCGTGTTTAAATTCTTTTTCTCATCTCACTAGCTTTAGCTAATATGCTCACTTCGGAGACAAAACAATATTTCGTTGTTAACATATCGTAATACTATGAAAAAAAAACATTCAATAATATAATAATATTCGATAATATTGTTATAGGAATACTAGTTTTTTTTTATTATTAGACTCTTATATTAAACATCATTATTTTCCATTCAGCGTTCATTACAGCCTATCACAGTCCGCTGCTGAACATAGGCCTTCTAATATATTGCCTAATTTAGGGGCATTTGCCAATATATAACCGTGTAGTGGCGGTGTGAGACTATCCACTACCCCATATCAACCCGTATGTGTCGTAAAAGGCAATAGAGGGAAACAAATCAGGAAATGGGCAACAGCGTTTTCCTAACAAAACTAGAAAAAAAGACTGTTGAATATTCTAAACTATACTACACAAAATAAAATAAATCTTCTTTATACAAATTAACCACCATTAAATATAATTATACTTTGGGTTCTTATATACATACTGAATAATTTATATACAATACTACTGTTCAAATACTCAAACGCTACTCAATTATAAGACGCTGTTAAGTCTCGTGCTGTCTCTATCACTTTAAGTCAAATTTACTGACACCACGAAACTTAACCACATCTTAAAATTGACCAGCGTTTGAGTATTTGGCCATACAAGTGTTTCTCTCTAAACAGAGGTCACCTAAGAACTAGAGTTCTTTTCAAACTGATTTAAAAATGTATCTCATTCCACTCCAAAAGCAACAATTTTTAACAAATGCTTGCGTACAATATCCATATGTAATCTAACAATTTAACAATAGTTAAATATTTGCAGCTCAAGTTGTGGTGATGATAGTCAATTTCGACCACACCGACATTTTCCAAACAATATTTAAAATCAATAATTGTTGGAAAATCTACCTGCACCTCGATCATTAAAAAAAATTTACAAAACATTAAAAAAAAACTGACAGAAAATCTCAAAAAGTATATACACATAGTTAATATCATGCGATAAGGATATAGTATAGTTAATTCATTTGTACATTAGTTTTTAAATTTGAAATTTAAATTTCGTGTTTAAGCAAGGCAAGCAAAAACAAAAAATTGTTAATGCTAAATGCGTACCCACGATGCAGGATTACCTAGGGTGGGCACTTTAAACAACGGATACTTTAATGAGTTGTAGTTGTTTTCTGTCAAACTCCTTATCTACTTAAATGGGTTAATTTCGTTATACAAATGATAGATACAAATTCATGTAGATGAATAGCGTCATGGCAGTTAATCGATAGAAAAGCAAATCCGACTCTATCGCGATGCGAGGTGCACAATAATGAGGCACTAGCTCATACGAAGCTATATCCGTTGGCATTCGTTTGCTCATACTCGCTGGATACTATAATCCGCGTGCGTTCATCGTGAGATACGACCTTTTGGAACTGAGACACGTGCTGTCCGCACGCCAGTCGTAGCGTCAGCAACTCGCGAGACGATAGACGTGCTATTTGACATTGATTTTTATTCGTGCTTAGTATGATTATTTTCTTCGTTTTTTTGTGGTTTACCTTACAATGAAGACAATAAATAATGAGTCAAAAGAAAGGTACAGTTTTGAAAAGCCAATCACACGAAATAATTTTGCCGTTGATAGATATTTCGAACAAGAACGATATCGGCCATCTATCGGCATTGAATAAATAATAAAAAATATTAATAAGTTGAACAATCATTTATCTTTCTGACAATGTGCTTTTTATATCATTTATATGTTTAATATGATTGCTAGATACGATTTCATGCGACAAAACGTTGGAATCTTCATTTTTAGGCCGTAGCAGAACATACCTGCGCGTTCCGCTTAAGACATGCAATATATAAATTATATTTAATTATTATTATTTATTTATAATATTATTATATTAAATATATAGAACTTCTTTGCTAACCCTCCTTCACTCCTTTTTCACTTAACTTCGACAAGGTTTCATCGCATTCAGATCGCGCAGGGATTATACGTCTTATTCGTTCTAATCCTAATGACCTTGATGTGTGGACCTCGAAATCTGGCTGAGAATTTAATACCTTGATGTGTTACTCAACAGACGTTAGTTAGCCACACGGCTAGCTATATTAATATGATTATTAAAGGAAAACATTCCATATATATAGTAATCCAACATTGTAAGTACTGCGTACATTTTTTTTATCGAAAACAATAAACATAACATGATAACTATATGTTTAACAAAAATATAAATAACAATTATATAGCATTTTATGTGCAAGTTCGAGAAATGTCGATTTTTGAACTCTCATAATTGATATAAGTACAATAATATATAAATCGAAATATGATATTGCATCATTTAAAGACGAACTAGCGAAAACTCTCTTAATTTTTTTTTAAATGCAGTTAAGCGATGCTTAAGTTTGTTTTAATAATTAAAAACTAAATTTCCCTCGTACTTTGAAGAACCCCAGGCTAGTCTTATTGTGAAGCATTGAAGTAACTCCTAAGTAGCTTTGTATGACAATGGGGGAGTGATGTATACAGCAGGCTGAGGATGGCATTGATTCGATGGCCCTTTGGAGCTTTTGAGCGAAGGTCTCCATATCATACATGGACCTCGCTTCAACACTGCCTTCTGAAATTTAAAATACAGATATTATAATATTATAAAGCAAAAGTATTATGACGATTCCATAACAAAAATACAAAAAAAACCACCAAAGCGGACTAGACTAGACAATAATAATATTAAATATCTGACCTCTCACTTGTCCTGATGAAAGATGAGAATCTTTCATCTCTTCTGTGTCTGTAATTGTAATTAGAATACATTACATAGTCCATTTTTAATTAAATTACGTTAATTTTAATGAATGAATGCGCTGACTTCAATGAAATTGTTATTTACAATTTGAAGTACTAATTTCCATATTATGCTCAATGTTAGAGGAAAACATCTGACATTATTCTTGACACAAACTGATCTGTCTTCTTTCTTTCTTATCAGTCCATTGAAGTCCATAGCTGGACATTAATTTGCGTCTAAACCATGTTGTTAGTTGAAAATTATTTTAGGTGTATATTATTGACCCATTTAAGTGTCAAAATCATTGGCTATACATAAACATATATTGCAGCCATATTGCAACATGTAGCCCAGCAATGAGGGCTAATTATTTTCTGCTCACCAGATGTCGCTAGTTGATACTGAGGTAAATTTTTTTGTTACACAATTTAATTGACAAGTTGTTTTCAATAAAAGCTTATCAGTTTCTAGAGTATTATATTAATACACAAAACAATACTTCAGTGGTTTGCTCTTTAATTTTTTGCACATTTTTCACCTTTTTTTTAATTTTTCTACTTTAATGAATATCCGTGGTTTGGTTTATTTTTTTAATGTTATTAATATAAAATATAGCTAATAGTACAAAAAGAAAGAATAACTTTTAAATTTTCCGAAGAAATTAACTTCCCCGCTATGAAATCTGTCAAATATTATACCTCTTTCTAGTGGCGCCGCCCTGGTGGCAGAAAAAGTCATGGATCATTGATTGCTCATCCATAAATTGCAATAAAATGCTTTTGTGATAGCCGCGAATGTTTGCCAATAATTGCAGCCACACATTGCCGGAAAACATGGCCCGTTTAGACGAGCCTTTTAAACACGCACGCTGCGTGTTTTTACAATAACTTGTGCATGGATCGGCGTCACTTAAAGTGTACTTATGTATACCTTTATTTATTGTTCTTAGTTGTAGCGTATAAAAAAAATTGGTTATATAGTCTTTACCACTCTAATCACATTAACATAGTGGTAGCTTATGGGTTGAGCACTCGCGGTAATTTTCATAGTACACGAGAAATCTGATATCGATCCGTGGGTGTCGTAGGAGGCGACAGAGGGAAACAAGGAATGAGCAGTAGCGTCTTTCTAATAACAGATATCAAATAGAAAACGTTTGCCAATCTTGACGGTTGGCAACTCGCCTGCCAAGTGTAGCAGCTACAGCAAATATCCGTATGTTCAGCAGTGGACTTTTGATAGAATGAAATAACAACGGAGCAACCCGAGTTCTACCACTGAAATTTACCACGTGGCGTTGACCACATGATAAATTTAACGTCTTTTATTGTCTGAAATAAATCAATAATTTGAGAACATGTGAAGTCCGTCAACACGCACTGGAGCAGCGCGGCAGTCACTGCTATATAAGCCAGGAATGAGAGGCCTACTGTGCCCCGCTTTAGGATGTATAAGAATCGATTTTTAGACTATGCTGTATCAAAACCATTATTTTAGTTAGAAATTTTGACAAATACTATTCTGATCATATTAGGAAATGAAAAACTTTTCAATTATACCTTCATACATTTAGAAATCATAATTGATTTTTTTCTTGGTAAGACTAATTTCAAAGCTATTACCTTTATGCCAATAAATAGGATGCGATGCAAAAGTGATAAAAGGAACGTCCTGGCTGAAAGGATTCCATGCAGTCCTTAGAGAAAGTGGCTCGCCCTTGTTCCACATCAGTCGGACTCCGCGAAGGTTTCGTTCTCTGCAACGGGAACATTATTTCACATGTAAATATAACCTTAGAATTTTGCTTCAGGACAGCGGAGTTAGACAAGTTGCTTTCTAAAATTGATAACGCCAGTAGAAAATTGTAAAAACGAATGACCCTAAAACATCTCAACGTTAAATCACATGACATTCATGTGACACGCAGATTTCATTAACATTTTTCTATCGCGTTAAATATTGTAGAATGTCAACTTGGCTAGCCCCACTAATATCCTAATAGGCAGTCGTAAAATGTTGACATACTCTGGCTTGGCATTTGCCTCTACCACAACTAGAAGGATTTGCGAAAGCTATGTTTGACAAACATATTAGCGATTCTAAAAAGATTGGTTTTTGATACTGTATTCTAGCCTAACCCGCCTGCCAAGCATGGCAACTATGGCATATTAGCCCCCTCCCCCGCCTCCCTACATTTAATACAAAAACATTTAGTGATCACCTCATTCAAAGGTATTATCCATGTATTCTTTGATTTAAATGTTTTCAGTAAGTGTTTTGTACGTGGTAGAGCCACGCTGCAGCTATATTAATAGTATAATTGTAGCGCGAATGGGTCGGCTCCATCGGGGAAGGACCACGCTATCGCAGAATACCAGCGTAAAATGGCAGATTAATGCTGTTGTGTTACGTATGGTGAGTGTATAGTACCGGAGACCTTTTTTACTGAAATAGAGGCATTCCATCTTAGTCCTCACGGCTGACAACGCATTTCAATCTTGCATTTTAATTCGCAAACGAGGATAGATGTAGATATCTATGGACCACAGTAACCGCTTACCATCAAGTGGACTCGGTGCTCGCTTGTCATCCATATCTTATAAAAAAAAGTAAAAGTATTAGGTTCTTTGTAAGCTTACTACTTAAAGCTATAGCTACATGCCACCTAATGGGTTAAGGATGTTAAATAGCAAAACTAGCATTTGATTGTCATAAGTAGAACGACAGCACTAGTAGTGCATGTAACATTTAGTTATAGTCTATTTACATAAAACTGAAGTGACAATTGAACATACAGACCACCTGGTGGTAAGTGGCTACTGCAGTCCATGGACACCTGGAGCAAACTTCAAACAAAGATTATAGATCTCTTAGTCCGTCTTTGTCCTCACAGACCACAACACAGAAGTGCAAGCGCTGGTATTTGAAGAAATAGGTAAGAGGGTGAACTAACCCAGGCAGACCCGTCAGCAGAAAAGTACTCCTTTTAAAGTAGTCCACCTAGTAAGTGTTTAGGGTAGTCCTGGTTGTTACTGGTTTAATAACCGATGATTACTATATAGGTAGTATGATAAACTAGTAAATTATGTATGGTAAGCTTTAAATCACTACCTACTTGGGTTTGAATCAACAACTACCCTCCTTTTGCTTATGCCTTGTTAAAATTTTACCTCTAGAGAAATTTCATTTTACGAAACAAAAGGATCATCATCTTATACAAATAAAACTGAGGATATCTACCTTATGATAAAATCCAGTTCATATTACCACTGTTTACATCAAAATTTATAATTTAATTATTGTAAGCAAAAAGCTTTTGAACAATAATTCAGCATATCATTAAAAATATATGAATAATTTGTTACTGTGAAGTCATAAAGTTGTTAAGGAAGTTGTAAAGTATTAAAGAGTAGATTTAATAGAAAAAGCATAAAAAGCAACTAATGATATGCGTGAACAATTAATAGAAAAGTAAAAATCAATAGAATTACAGTCAACTAATAAATTTGATGGTAAAGCTGGCATAATAAAGGCAGCACAACATATTTTTATGCATCTACAGCAACTCAAAGTACCTAGGTTCAAAATACTTGGTATCGAACAGTTTTGCCTCGCCGTTGTTGCCACTGGGACGTCCGCACAGACGATCTATGACGCAATCTTTGACGACAGTTGTCACACCCGTTGCGATGCCATTAATTCGGCTGTGGTGTGCACAAGAATTGCTACTTATATTCCATATAAATACACACAATTGACATAAAATATATTTCTTTACAAATTTTATGTTTCAAATTTTTATATGTTCATATGCAACATACATATTTGTTCATTAAGTTATTAGATAACAATGATTTCTTATGTTAACGCGAACACTACATATTTAAATAAAACTAATTTTATATGAATCTTATCACTTATATTCACGGTCAGTGGGGGCCATGGGTGCTGTTAAGTACTCAAAACATCGGAATTATAAAATAAGTTAATATTCCTAAAATTAGTTTCATTTAAATTGTTACATAATTTTAATGAGTCTAATCAGATATAATTTCATGTATAGTATAAACCCAAATCAAAAAGCAAAACAAAGTGATGTATGAAATAAAAACAGTTCTTTATTTACTTACGGTACTAGTGAAGAAGGTGGATAAACCAGTTCTCCTATAACTATGGTGTCCAAATCGTCTAAATAAGTCTTTTTAAAATCTAACTGCTTCATTGCTATGAAATCATACTTAATTGTCATAACCAGCCTTGATGTCAGTAGGACAATCCTTTCTTTTTCGTTATCCCACAGCGTTATTCTGTAAAGAAATATTTATCACAAATATGGTAATAATTTATAATGACAGTTTTTTATGAAAATTTACTTAATTCTTTCTTCCTCACCCTTCGACCATCAGACAATCGACACTCAATATACCACGCATTGAACGTGGAATGAAGAGAAGTGGATTAATTCGCTAGCATCGTCTTTCTTTCTGAATATAATGTGAATGAATAAGGTTTTGCCTAGCTAAGTCAATGCACTTTATCACCATTTGGCTACATCAACACTTACCATTAGGCGGGATAATAGCATAGGCCATTATAAGTAAAAAAGAATACAGCACAAAGTTATTTTTTTTTAAACGTTACCACCACACTAGGATTTTCTCTTGTATCGTGGAGGCAGTTTACAAGCATAAATTGCACAAGGACAAACTGAATTTAAAATTGAAATTAAAACTGAAATTGAAATTATGGCTGCAGCAGAAAATCATATGATGGAACCAAAGAACTTTTTTACTGGTAACAAAGCACACCATCTAAGTCCTCAGAGGTGGGAATGTATCTGCATTGCAAAATATCTACTTGCTATCAAGTTGACTTTGTATTCCTATGTCACACTTACTTCTTTTAAAAATATTTTTATTTATGACTTCAAATAATCTCATATATACATACTCTGTAAGCAACCAGGACCCCAAATACTCTCCGTCTTCAGGAAATAAAAGAGCTGTGATGCAATCTTGAATTGCATTCTCCACAACACCCTTGCGGAATGTAAAGAAATCCTTAATATTTTCTCTATTGAAAGGCATATCATATCGAGGGTAAACAGTCCTTTCTGGTTCCTCATTTGCTGCTCTTGAATTTACTGTACCCTCTGTTCTTGCATCTGTAATAATGATAAATACAGTCCGTATGGATAAAGAATGATTCCAATAACAAATTCGCTGAAGTAATAGAATGTACGAAAAACGCATACCACAACTTATTTTTTTTGCAGTTTTTATTTTTGAGTTTACACCCACCGGTAAAGACTGCAAATAATTAATTATATATATATATATTATATATATATATATATATATATATATATATATATATATGTGTGTATATATATATATATCTCTAATACTATACTCACGTATAGATAGCGACGGTGTGCGAGCGAGAGGTGAATAGGCAACGCCATTTTCAATCACATTCTTTAACTGCACGGGTAGTAAGTAGGTATTATAATTAAATTCATTGAGAAAATAAAGCTTGAGAATTAACCTACACACTAGTGAGAAGATGCTATGGTAAATAATAAAAATTACACAGTATTTGCTACAAAAAAAAATTCAGGGTGGAAAGAGGCCCCACTTCCATTTTCTACAACCCTAGTAGCATGATAATAAACCCAACTATGATAATGCTCACCAGACCCAATTTTGATAACAGCAGCCAGACGCAACACAACGGAGACTAGCCATATGCACAGGATTAACGTGCGCTAGTGTGTGTGCAAACAAGTGCACTTTCTATTCCCTAACTCTCATAATCGATGAAAGGACCAATAGCTTAACATGCTTTCCAAGGCATGCAGGTGAAACACCACATAACTGCTCACAATCACTAGACAAACGAGGCAGTCCTTATCATTATTATTACTAGTGCAAGAGTCCTTAGTTGTTGCTTGTTTCTGCTCAAAAAGCCCAATACATATAATCTAACAGTACAGAAGGAGTTTTGGTTACATACCCCTTATTTTAGATTTTTTTTTTAATAGGATAAGGGCGACAAACGAGCACACAGTCCACCTGATGATAAGTGGTTGTTGCGGCCCATAGACATCCAACTCTATCCTTGATTACGAACCAATATGCAGATGTCTATGCTCACCATACGAAACAGAGCAGCGTTAAGTTGCTATTTTACGTTAGTATTCTGTGAGAGTGTGGTCCCTCCCTGGTCGAGGCGATCCATTTGTGCTACAACTATACTACTAATATAGCTGCAGCATGGCTCTACAACGTAAAATGAGAATGGAAAAGGGGAGGGGTAGAAGGAGAGTGGGAAGCAGACATGTGTCATTCATTCATTTCTGCTGACACACCCATTCAAGTAATGATTTGTCTTACTAACCAGGTCATTCAAATGAATCATTTCATGTTTTAGTACTCTGTGGTCTGCGAGACCCGCTCGATTATGTCAGTCGTCGGACATTACTATACTCTGGTACATTCAAAAAATGTAATTGCAATCATCAATACTTTGATGCAACCTGGGTCAAGCAAACAAATCATTCATGATTGACACATGTATAGTGGGAAGTTCCTCTCCCACACTCCCTACCTCGGAATTGTAATTTTTTTTTGAAAATTTGTATGAATTTATAGCATTTTGGTACAAGCCTTTTTGAACAAGCAGCATATGGAGAAAGGGGAAGAGGCACCCCTGTCGTAACCCTCCCCTGAAAAAGTACATCTTTTATTGAATTTATGGTCAAAACTAATCTTGAGCAAATCTGCAGTTATTATACTGGCCAAACCTGATTTTAGGACAAATTAGTTTTCCCTATGCTAAACTAGTTTTTTCTGAGCCCTGGGCCACCCCTTGCAACTCGTTCCATACCTGATAAAAACTAGTTTAGCTAAGAAAACAAACTTAACAAAAATAATATTAGACTGTTTTCATTGGTCTAATAAAAAAGTAGATATTTGTATCGATCTGTATAATAGTCAAAAGTCAGTAGGCAGTCAGTAAACCAGTCTGACTGCCTGCCTACTGCTAAGACTAAAGCTGGATAGTTAATCTAAAAGCGAGTCCATTTCTCAATGAATTTAAAACATTTGATTAAAATGATGGATATATATATATATATATATATATATATATATATATATATATATATAATACTCCTATATTTTTTTTATATACAGTAACAAACAAAAATAAAATTTAAGTACCTCTACCTGCAAATGAAGTCGTGGATGATGAAAGCGAATCAGCGCCTGATAATACGGAAGAATTCGCATTTAGCTGGTTTTTATTTTTATTGGATTCTGACGCATTATCTCGTCGACTATCTGCATTAGCATTGTCCGTAGACAACTGTAATGTGCCAACACGAAATTCTAAATCTTCATCCAACAAATCACTCATTATGTTAAAATTACAACACTTTTTGTTTTGTTAAAACTTTAAAATAATTTAATACTAATATTATTTATCGTTCTGCGTAAAGCGTAAACGTCTATGTTAAACGTAAATAATCGACCGGCTGATAGTAAACATCAATACAATGTTGCCAGCTAGCTTTGTCAGAACAGAATGTTATATAATTACATTCATACTTTGTGGTTACATTAGCATGCCTGCAAGGAAATGACCGCAAACTAAGTGTTCGCGCAGCAATGACCAAATTATTTTAGGTCATTGCTGCAAAGTGACATTAGTTAGTGAAACATTTATTAATGATGTATTATAAATGATTAATTATCAATCCGTAATATCTAAGTAATTAGATTAGTAAGCTGAAGTGGCAGTGGGCCGGCCATATAGCTCGAAGAACCGACAACCGATGGGGAAGAAAGGTTCTCGAGTGGCAGCCTCGTACCGGTAGGCGAAGTGTAGGGCGTCCCCCCACGAGATGGAGTGACGACCTGGTAAGACATGCAGGAAGTCGATGGATGCAGGTGGCTCAGGACCGTGCTTTGTGGCATTCTTTGGGGGAGGCCTATGTTCAGCAGTGGACTTGTGAAGGGCTGTAATGATGATGATGATGAATATCTAAGTAACATAAAATAACATCTTCTGATAATGTTTTATGTTTTTAAATAAGCAATTGAAACATTAAGAAAAAAATTTGAAAAATGCAAGTGTTGAAAAAATGAGGAGTTTTTCATTTCAAATTTAAGAATACTGAAATTATGACACACTAGTTTTGATATCAAATAAATATAATTTTTCAAAAAGTCACAAAAATGTGCCACAAAAATTTTCTTACTTATAAGTTATATGAATTGAAAAAAGTTACGTTAAATGTAAGAGGTGTAACCTTTTGGCAACACTGCATTAATATGTCTCCTTTAATGAGGGCATCCATGACTTTTCTGCCACCAGGGCGGCGCCACTTAAAGCTGAACGCACATATGTCCGCGCCGTCCGCGCCGTACGCGCCGTACGCGCCGAATTTTCCTGATGGCCTCGCACATTAACACGCACGCACCGCCCGCGCCGTACGCAAATATTTTGGATTGCCAACAACTCTTGCAGTTTTTTCCAACCACTGGTGTGAAACGGTACATTAGATAGATTAGATTAAAAACATTTATCGCTCGGAATCACTATGGAAAAAAATATTGTAATAGCCTGTTTATTGGCAGAGGAAGAAGAAAACAAAATTAGAAGAAAAAGAAGATTCTGGATTCATAATATTAATTTAAAAAGGCAATTGTATGGAGAGTATCATACTTTATTTAAAGACTTGTTATATGATGATGAACGATTTTTTAGATATTTGCATTTAACATACAAGAAATTTCAAGAATTGTTACATATATTAAAACCATATCTTTCTATGGAAAACTCAAGATATAGAAGGCCAATTGAACCAGAGGAAAGACTTGTTGTATGTTTGAGGTAAGTATTTTTATTGATAATTAAGTAATCAGGTATAATTAAGTTTTTGAAGTCACTATCAATTTGTTTAATGTATTTACATAATTTATCACTAAGTATTCATATTCTGCCGTCATAAGAAAAAAGGGCGCATCTAACAATTTTTGGAAAAATGAGTTAAATATACCATTCGACTCAAGATAAAAAGGCTCATCTACTCAATTTTTTTAATATTCAAAAATATCAATATTTTAGAAAATATCGTAAAAGTTTTAGACGTAAATGTTGATCAAAGATGACATTTCTTTAGTAGAAAAGACGTATACAAATTCAACATAAAACAAAAGACTTATTGAACCAGTTGCTACGTAATCTTTAACAATATTTGCATCGATTACTTAGATGAAAAAATGTAACTTAATAGTTTTAAAATGAAAAGACGCTCTTGGTTTCTTACGTCCAATCGTCTTGGTACTCACTGTGAATAAAATAATTATAGAATAGGCAAACGACATCGCGTTTTTTTTAAGTAGCACATATATTTCAGTAAACCGGCGCAAAGTAATTGATCTTTTTTTTACAAATATTCCGTGGTCAGAGCAAAGGATTTTTATAAGACAATTAAAATAAAAATAATTGTACAACCGACTTCAATATATATTATTAAGAATAACTCAAAAACTATTGGTCAGACCTTAATCAAATTTATATGGGACTTCACGAGAAGCACCAGCTTTCAAATAAAAAAAGAATCATCGAAATCGGTTTACGGAGAACAAAGTTATGAGGTAACACACATAACAAAAAACATACAGTCGAATTGAGTACCTCCTCCTTTTTCAAGTTGGTAGATAGACTTCTTCGACGCGACCAAAGAGGTGAAAAAAAGCTGTAGCTTACTAAGAAGAAAAGTAGTAAATTACTTTTTATTTTATTAAATATATATATATATATATATATATATATATATATATATATATATATATATATATATATATATATATATATATATTTTATAAATAATATAGATTAGCCAATAAATCAAAATACAATAGGAAATTAACAAGTCAACATCAAGAATATATTATTTAATTAACTGCTATTTTAAATTAAATCGTTTTCTTCAGATTAATTATTTTTGTCGACACCATCGTCGTCGGTTTTAGATTGATATAATTTATTTGTACCAATTTGTTTCACAACGTTTATCTGAATTTCAATTTCTTTCTCTAACCGCAGTGTACACTTAACACTTAAAAAATATAATTCGAAACAAAAGTCGAAACCACCAGTTTTAGTGGAAAATCCACGAAGTTGGCAACATTACACAACACTGAGTATCCACACGCGCCAAACGCGCCGCGTTATATGACGTCATCAGCATTCGTCCTTCGATATCGTATACCTACCGCATTTTATAAAATTCGGCGCGTACGGTGCGGGTGTAGTGTGCGAGGTTTCATATGATTTCATACAACGAATTCTAAAATTCGGCGCGTACGGCGCGTACGGCGCGGACATATGTGCGTTCAGCTTAAAAGTGAGTTATTATTATATTTGACAGATATCATAGCGGGGAAGTTAATATTTTCGGAGAATGTTAAGGTTAATGCATAGAGTATAGTAATATATAAGGAAGGGTGTACTATTAGCAATATTTTATAGTAATAAGATTAAAAATAAATAAACCAAATCACAAATATTAAAAAAATAGAATAATTAAAAAAAAGTTTAAAATGTGCAAAAAATTAAAAAGCAAACCAGGCAAGGGGCATTGTTTTGTGTATTAATATAATACTCTAGAAACTGATAAACTTTTATTTAAAACTAACTCCTCAATTAAATGATGTTGTGTAACAAAAATACTTTATCTCAGTGTCAGCTAGCGACATCTGGTGAGCAGAAAATTATTAGCCCTCATTTATAACATGACATGGATATGAGTCCTTTGAGAGCTTCCACTTCCACAACTTTTTCTGCCACCATGGCAGCGGCATTTTGGAATGGAGTGTCTGCTAATAAACACCTCAGTCCCAACATCTGATGAGCGGAAGATTATAAGCCAATTTGTTACCCCTCATTCAACTTGTGTGGCGTCATTATAAACACGGCTGCCATTATTTGCCTTAATCGTCACGATTGGTTGGTTAAGCGGATTGACGATCGTAGTAACAAACGTCCTGTCTCGTACCTTGAACGCTGTTGCCTTTTGTTGGTCTAGGAATTTTACCGCCATCTATCGGGAGACATAAGGTATTTTTGGCTCATATCGTACTCACCTCTTACGACACATACGGGACGAAATAGGAAAATTAATTTTCTTACGCCGCCAACACTCAGTAGTGTACCTATATTATATTCCTTTTTTATTCTTTCTGCTTCTTAAAACGTAGTAATAATAATTTCTTTGACTTGGGTTGTATCTTGGAGGCGTTTTACATGTAATCTAAGTACATTGCCTTAAAAAAGTGAGAATACGTACCGTACAAACTCTAAGGAATTTAAAAAATTAAATTAACTGGTAAAGCTGGAATATCTACCCAAAAAAACTGATTACATATCTTTTTTTTTTTAAATAAATCATTGACTTGCGGTTAAACCTAGTGATAATATATCCTCCTACTAATTGTTTGCGGTTTCTTGTATCTGGGTTGAATAAATCGCTCCGTTTATTTGCGCACAAAGATTAATACCTATGATGCTTAGTTGCGCACATAAAAGCCATATTTTGTTGAAGTGAAAACTTCTGAATCGTTGTTATCAGGGCCGGATTAACCAGTAGGCAGAGTAGGCCTAGGGGCCCCGCATCGGGTAGGGGCCCCGTGCGCACACAAATATAATGGAAAATGTTTCATACAGAGAAAATTTAATTGAAAAATTTGTAACCTCAGTGACAATATGTATTATTACGTTTTAGCGACGCATACTGTCAGTTGATGAAATACTTCATACTTACAGAAAGAACCATCTAGTATCGAGTAGTAGAACAAAACTATTTTCTTTCCTTTATTATATTTAATTGCATTTATCAAGAATAATATTAAAATTAAAACACCGCGTCTTATTTTTCTTTCTTGCTCCATAATGAGATGATCTTATCTCATATACATACTTTACCTAATGAGATCTGGATCATCACTTATCTATAACCTATTCATTAAGATAATTTCAATAAGCCCAAATACAAATCTTTTACTATAAGTTCCTGAGGAGTTAAGCATCAATCCGGTGATGCTACTCACATCCCTTTAGGCTGGCTGCAAAGGGGCCCCGAGAATTCCTATGCCTAAGGGCCCCGACATGTTTAATCCGGCCCTGGTTATTATTTGAAACTCGATGAAACGAAAAAGTGACACTAATAATTTTTAAATTAAAAATGTTGTACAACCGAATGCAATATAAATTATTGAGAATAACTCAAAAACTATTGGTCAGAACTTGTTCAAATTTATATGGGACCACATGAGAAGCACCAGCTGTCAAATAAGAATCAACGAAATTGTTTCACACAGAAAAAAGTTATGAGGTAACATAAAAAGAGA